CCCAAACTCCTTTGGTCTAAATCAATATGTGCCAAAAGTTAGTCCTACATAAACAGAAAACAGAAGCCACTTAAATACATACAATGGAAGTCCTTTCCCCAGAACTGAGAGACACAGACTCTGAATTTTGCGATTCTTCTACTGGAATTCCATTCTTCAATTTGTTGTAGACATCCTGAGTTTCAAAAGGCCATTACTTCACATGAAAATATTAATTATTAAAAAAAATTAATTACCACAGCATTAAAGATGACAGCCTTGCGACAACAGTACCAAGTTACATAAAAGCATGTCAGCAATTGAGGCTCCAGTAGTTCTAAGCAAATGTCTGTGTAATACAACCTGCAACAAAGTAAAAGGGGAAAAGATAAATCACCAACACCAATGAAAAAGTGATAATTTACCAAGTAACGTGTAACAGAAAAGAAGTTTCTCACAAATGTTGCTTGGTCATCTTCAAACAAGTCCAACGCTTTTTCATAAATCTGCATATTCATATAAGACTGGACAAGAAACAAAGAGATAAGATAGGAAGAAAGAGGAAATGCAAGACATACTAAAAGCCATAGTAGCTCCTAGATTCAACAGATTGGCCACCATTCACTAGCCTAGTTATAGATAAGAGAATTGATATGCTATTACAGCAAGATAGCAAGACACAGTCACACAAGAAGACAAACCTCATCAAGCTTCTTTTGCAAGTTATCAAGCACACGTTTCATTCTATCTGAATTTTCAGCTAACATTGCCCTTCTTCTTTCATTCCATGAAGTGACCAGCATAGGCCTCAATTGATTTGCCAGGGGTTTAAGAATTGTCTCACGATCATCCACATCTATATCACAAGAAGACAATGTAACAACTCTAGACAATAGATGATAACAGTAAGTAGAACAAATAATTATTTCACCAACCTTGCTCTTCAAACTCAGGAACCAATGCCAATACTTTATTGATTATCCACTCCTCTGAAGGAACACCAACACTATCCTCTTTTGATCTTTTTGACTCTGAAACATGTAAAACAGAAGTATCCTTGCCTTTTCTCTGGTTTCTCTTAGATTTCGAAGGAATAGGTTCTTGTTTATTTAGATCACTTTCAGCGGCAGAACTCCTAGGATTCCCTGAAGATTTTCCTTTCTTCTTCTTTGAACCTCTATCCATGGCTGGTCTATTTCCGCCCTCAGTACTGACATCATTGAACTCGGATAATCTACCTGAGTCATTCCCACCCTTGCTTTCCTTGGTTGGTTGTTTCTCATCATCTATTTTGGAAGCAGTAGATATAGGAATGGTGGTTTGCATCTCTTTATCTAGTCGAGTGAAGACATCCTTTACAATAAAACATACAATTTGCAAGCATTCAATTTCATTAGTAAATTATAAGTTAATCTTGTAAGAGAGGTAGTAAATGATAAAAAAAAAAAAAAAAAAAAAAAAAAAAAAAAAAAAAAACATAGGAGAATATCCGTGATCCAAACATTTAACCAAGTCCTTAAACATGCTCATCGTATATTAAGGTCTTGGTCAGGCTAAGAGTTGAAAAGCCGATCGACTTTCGAGGATCCATATCCCGTACCTTTATAAAGCCATCGCTAAGGACATACGACTCTCCCACAATGAGTGCTCTGTTGGACTGAGACCAGGAATGACTTATATTAGGACAAGCAAACATACCATAAAATGAATGTATTTTTTTATGGACTCGGAGATGTCACCTTAAGTGCAGACTGTACAGATGGGCACAAGGACAAAATCTTATGTGCATCTTGTGAGTCACATAAAGAGGGCAGCACTGTAAGAGAATCAATCCTGAAATCCATCACGGATCAGATCTACGGAAAAAGAAAGGTTCAATAGCATACAAGTGAACTAACACAGTAGCCATACATGTTCTCTACTACAAAGGTAAAATTAACATGTCATGTAATTTTAGTAAATTATACGGGAGCCAAGAAAAATTACAATGAGAGTTGAGGGCTGAAACAAGCAAGCAATCTAGTTGTCATGCAATAGAGTTTCTAACTGACACAAACATGACTGACATTCTAATCAAAACAGAGCCACCTAATCTAAAAACACTCACCAGCTATTACGTTCAACAGCATCCTCTATAGCTGCATCTAACATCTCAATCATTGAGGGGTGAATAAACATAGTTACCAAAGGAATGCCTTCAGGATACCTGGACTATATTGAGGGCATTAAATTTCAGTTAGAAAAGGGGAAAATACAATTAGGATAATTAACAGATGAAAAAAAGGGCAGCAGTTTACCTGTAAGTACTGCATGGGCTGGGGTATTCCTAATTTTTGAAGAGAGTCATAGCTTATGAAGGAATTCTGCCATAAAATATAAAGGAAACATGAGAACTCACCACATGGAAAAAACTAACATTCCTTCATTATGTCTTTGAGAGAAAGCCCTTTACATAAAATCTACCTAGCCTGTTCCTATTAAGATCTGGACACCGCAATGAATATATGTAGCAAATTACTATATATGGCACATGGAAACATGGTAAACCAGTAGTCCAGTACACTTGATGAGCAAGTAATTCACATTTGTATGGAAAATTTCTACAGGGTAAAATAATTTCAGGTACAGCTTGCACACTTAATGTCACAATATAAATATACAGAGAGGAGGTGGATATAGGCTTGTAGCACAATATTTCAGGTAAGCTTCAAACCTGTGAAAGGAAAGAATCCACAAATTCCTTCTGAGCTGAAGCAAAGACCTGGTAAAATCGCAAGTCAATCCACGTGTAACTTTTATTCATCTACCTAAAAGAGTGGTAAGAAACAAAAACAACAACAACAACAACAAAAAAAAAAAAAAAAAAAAAGGGGACCCTACAGCAGGTGTCCAATGAACTCCAGCACGAAGAGAACCAAGGATTTCCACTTCCTTCAGCAACCCATTGAACAATGTCTGGAAAAATGAGTTGTCCACAGCCACACCAGTAGCACCATCCATTCCCTGCAGTAACTGCTGCAAAGAGCTCCACAAGGCTGACAAATTCATTGGAACTGTTATACCCCTTGCAGCACCGCGAACCATTGCATTTACACGTGCAACATAAGCAGGGGTATACAGTTGCCCACCTTCAAGTCTACCTTTAATCTACATACCACACATGGATGTGAAGCAACAGAAATCCACATTAATATTTTAACTCAGCAAAATTCAAAAGAGGGGAATTGTTTGTTGATCATCATCTTTCAAGAAAGCATCATACCAAAGTCCCAAGCCGTGACTCCAACATTGATGATATCAGCTCAGAACCCACTTGTAGTTGTGCAGCAAGCTCAGCCACGGCAATCTGACTGCATTCCTGAAGTCTTTCATTAATTTCTTCAGCCATAGTATCCCAATAAGATTTTGAAATAATTTCTCCTTGAATTAACATAAGCTCAGGATCATCAGACACTACAACTTGAGCCTGTCTCTCAACATGATATAAATCAACACCAATACTATCGGTAAGATCAATCAAAGAAACACGCCCTAGCCTCTTTACTTCAGAACATATTTCCAAGCGTAATTGTTCCTGTTGCATAAGAGTTATATAATAACTTCGTAAATTCAAGTCCACTGTCAAAACATAAATCATACCAAGAACATACTATATAAAAACCACTCAAAAGTTGCAAAACTATTGTATGCCCAGCCCAATGCTGTCAAATTTTCAAGTTTATATCCAAAAGTACACTATTTTTAAGATTTTTAATCGTAATGATTAGAATTTAATTGACTTATTCAAGTATTCAACAACGAGGTCTACGACGCTTTATATTCATTCTAAAGTAGGAGATGATCATTGCATACTTAACTAAAGGATCAACTAGAAAATCCTATCATTTACGCCGCCTAAAGTAGAATTATGCGGCACAACAATCAAGATGAATCGGCATAGTGTTGATGTTGAATTAAATTCACAAAACTTATAAGCATGCAAAAACATTCAACAATCATAACTTAAGAATTCAATAGCAGCTATGCAGTATTTCTATTCAATTGCCACAACAAAAACTCATCAAATTGAATTAATAAACTAAATCAACAATCGAATTCAAATTTAATTGCAAAAACCCTAAACCTCTGAAATCGATCACATAAACAAAAATTGAGTCCAAATTGAGATAATTAAATAAACATAAAATTCAATGAATCGATCAAATGTGAAATTGTAAAAGATAAATTGAAAGAGAGAGATTACAGGAGTGATGTATTCTTTGCCGGAAACAGTGTGGAGGAGATCAAAATCGATGATTTGAAGGTCGTGAAGTTTCTGAACCAATTCGACGACATTTCTATCTGATAATCGAATACTTGATTTAGCTTGTTGTGCGAATTCGAACTGTTTCTGCAATTCCAACAATTCTTCATCCATAGTTTGTAGGAGAGAGAAAGAAGTTTCTTCAGTTCTTCAATTTAGCTCTAATGAAAGTTATTATGGAGTACCTGTTTAAGGATTTGATTAAAAACAAAAACAAAGTTTATGAATTTTATTACGGAGTACTATATTTGAAAATGGGATGGATTGTTTTATGGGTAATGCTATATCTTTCCTTTTTTAGTATTAAGTTGAGAATTTATCGACTATTCATGAATAAATTGGTCTAATAAACGTCTATTTATTGTTAATTCTTTCCACTTTTAGCTTCTTATATGTAACCCTTAGACATGTAACATAATACAGGACGGTATTTCAATAATTTACAAAATATGGCCACTTCTTGTAAGGAGTATTAGTCTATGTTCCTTAGACATGTCTTTAGCATTACTCGTGTTTGACATGGGTATGTGTAAAGGCTTTGTTAATATGTAAAGTATATACATAGAATCCATATATCGAATTTGAAATGAATTATAATGTGTAAAACGTTTATGAACTCGTCTTGGTTGTTGTAATGTTCTTGTTTAGTACTGCTACCTTGTTTTCGTCATTGTTTCTTGTCCTATAATAACACTAAATTACAAGAGAAAGAAGGGTATAAAAAGTGATAAAAGTACAGTATTGATTATATATCCACACTCAAAGTGGAGATTAGCAAAATTACAGAAGGCCTCAGGATTTTGTACGTAAGTTAGGTACACTTGGACAAAAAAAGCTCTTATTATTTTTCCCTCCCTATAATCTGTCACCACTTAGTACTTACCACCGTGGTGATTTTGATTAATAATAGATATAAACAGCTGAAAAACTGATGCAGAAAAATGTGATAAATTTACAAATGATCGACGAGCTCGGAAGAATTTACATAGGATAGTGATGCTGCATCAGTAACTGTGAGGCTTTGGAGCTGCTGTGAGTCTGTGACTTGAGAGAATACAACATACAGCTTTAGAGACTTCAAATTGCATACATTTTTTTGAACTTTTCTGCATTTAAAATCTCTGTATCAGACATTGCTGAGACAGACCAAGACCTTGACCGGCTTTCTAGGGAGGATTTCCGAAGGCTCTTTGCCTCCATTCGATGTTGAATCACCCAATAACACATGGTACCCAAAGTAGTCACCATGATTGTTGTTCCTATGATTGTCACCCCAATGGCAAGCCACCTCTCTTTAGTTCCTACTACAATAAAAGACAGCGCCAAGAATGACACGGAGATGAGAACGCATGCCAACCACATGAGTTTGTTAATGATTGCCATCATTTGCTTCTTCGCCTTGCTCTCTATAACTACTACAGAGGTTTGAACCACGACAACAGCAAGGGAGATGAAAAGGGCAATCGAGTCAAAAACAAAGAAGATTATAAATGCTGCATTTGGTGCAATGTTTGCTTCTCCAAGGGAACTTCCCGGAGGTATATTGTTCGGGTCATCAACATATTGGCCTGGAACAGTAAATATGGCTGCAAAAGCAACAGTTGCTATGAGCACAGCAACCACGGTGGTGGAGTTGATGGCATTATTGAGGCCCTCAGTGTGCATCTTGTTGATCCGTTTTGCAATTCCTTGGACACGACGTCTTGTTTGGCGAGTGTGCTCTAACTGATGATGGACTTCGTGTTTTATGTCGCTCACGGTTTGCTTAAGTTCACGGGCATTTTTACTGGTTGCTTGAGGCTTGATAACTTTGGCACTCTGAACCCCATGCACCCGGAGGGTTTCTGAAATCTGTGGATGCGACATTTTCTCGGCGGTGTCAAGGGCAGTTTCACCAGCCCTGTTAACAACTGTGGTGTCTGTTCCGTCTTCAGCTAATAATCTAGTTACAATCTGTGACATAGAAAGAACTAATCAGCTTCACTTCACAGTATATGGAACCAAAGCAGTTCCTTTCAGCACATCCACAATCCACTCAATGGATTACATATATAAAAACTTGTTTCTAAAGAAGTATCATCAGATGCTGTCATAAGAGAGCACTGGATCTATATCAACAGGCTATAATTCATACAATACAAGGGAAGCAATGAAGTAAGATCAAAACAACTAAATTTCCCAAGATCAATTCCTAGACCTCCCATGATTGCTGTTCTATTTTCCATACCAGACGACGCAATTCAGCACACAAACAAAAATGGTAGTAATCTACATATAACGTGACTCGTGATATTTAGTAAAGCCGTAAAGGCTCCAAAGGCCAAGGGGCTATGAGCTATCATCATCTAGTTCTTGAAATCTTTATCAAAGTTCAAAAGTCATGCACATTGCCACCTTGGTGACTATCCTAACAGTAAGTTTCATTTACCAAAACGATCATCATATTCTATAAACAACTCCAACCGCAATGTCCACCATGAATCATTTCAGCAATAGACATATATATAACTAAGTAGGGGAAAAAAATTGATGTAAACCCACCTGACACCTGCCTTTTCTTGTAGCTATATGCAATGCTGTATTGTCCTTACTGTCAGTCATATTGATCAAAGCAGGACCAGCCTTAATCAGCTCTTCCACAATCTCAAGATTCTGACCCTTCACCGCCATGTGAAGTGCTGTCTGTCCCTTCTTATCGGTCCTTGTTGTAATCGCAGGCTCCTTCTCCAAGAGAGCCTTCACTACAGCCACATGCCCATTCCTCGCAGCAGCGTGCAAAGCCGTCTTACCATTACTCCGAGCAATGGTTGCCAGGCCACTCCCTGACTCCAACAGGAAATTCACCACCTCGATATGCCCTTGTGTTGCAGCAGTCTGCAAAGCAGTAGTGTTGGATGTATCATAGGTCATGGACAGATCAGGGTGTGTCTCCATTAGCAATTTGAGTGTCACTGCCACAATTTAATCACAGACAATGTCAAAAACTGATGTTTTCCAACTACTAAACTAAACCTGCAATTTCTACACTGATACTGATCTTGCAAAATGATGTAAAAAACATACCCAAATCCCCTTGTTTCGCCGCGACATGAAATGCATCATATCCATTCTTAGCCTTGATGCTAGCAGCAACAGGATCATAATACTTGATCAACTCTTTAATAACTTCAATCTGCCCATATTCTGCAGCTGAATATAGTGCTGTTTCACCTGCCTGATTCTGTTTTATCAGCAATTCCTTCAGTTCATCCTCTCCAATTCCACTCAATATATCCAATACTTCATCTAAATTACCAGCTCTTGCTGCAGAATGAAGTTTTGTATCATCCCTTTTCCCAGTCAACTGTTTTGTCATCTTTTTCTGGGGTGGGCTTCCTGCCTCCATTTTTCAATCACTTTTTTCACAGAAAATACCAATTTTTATTTTTTTTTTTCACAAATTCATGCTGAAAAAACCCCAGATCAATAAACCCTTCAAAATTTATTCAATCATACTCCCAATATCAAATTCTGGGTATTGTATTATTTAGTATTTACCTGTAAAATAATTTTACAAAAAAAAATAAATCAAACATGAGAATTAGTGTATTGCATTTTAGCATTTATGATGAAGGCAAATTCCTTAATAACCACGGATGCATTAAAAAGCCCATGAAAAACCAGTATATATTAAATTCAATTATTGGTTCATTAAAGTTTGAAAGTGGGTTATAATTAAATCAAATTAAATTATGCAAAAAAAGCAGGAAAAAAAAAAGAGAGAGAGAATCACCTGAACACGAAGAAAAACAGCTACTTTGGCTCTCCTCCATTAAAACAACATACCCTTTTATACTTTATATTTAAATTTTAATATATAGTTTTAAGGGGATGAATTTACAGGGCTAAGAAAAGGAAGAAGACAATCAATCAAAAATGTTGTGGCACATGTTAAGCAACTTTTATTAACTTTTGGGTATAAAAAATCTGGAAATTTAGAAGAGAAACTTAAATAAAAAATTAATAAAGATGAATTCTTTATGTAAAGCTTAGATTGCAAATAAAAATTGGAGAGAGAAAAGAGGAGAGAGAATAGGAGCAAAATGCTAAAAGAAGCAGTGTGGGTGTCTGGAGTGGTGGTGGGCAATTTGTTGGGTCTCAACTCTCAACCACGCGCTGTAATTTGACATTCCCATGATCAACATATTCGTTTAGTTTTCACCACCCACATAATAAAACAAAAGTATCTTATGGGCTTATGTAAAACTTGTAATAAAATCACGCGTTAATCTGTGTATTATGAACATGTGTAATGTGTTATACTCTAATGGAAATGATGAATGAAAGGCAATTGAACAGGGTTGATTTTACAGAGTTGAATACAATTAGACAAGTACAAGTTGGTTCTTTATGTGGGTTTTGCATGGAAAATTTTAGGTTTTAATTTTGATGTATTTGCATTATCTTTTAGATAAATTAAAATTGATGATGTAAAATTATTATTTAAAGAAACTAACACTAAGAATTATGGTCATTTTATTACTAATTTGGAGTACAAAATTTCATTAATAATATAGCTAGATTTATAATAGGCATGTTAATTCAATTATTTCTTCTTCCCTTAAAAAAAATGTTAATTCAATTATAAAGCACAAATAGAAGTATAGAACACAGCATAAAACAACTTTGAAGGCAAGTGACAATTCATTTGTCTAGCATAAAACAACTTTGAAGGCAAGAGTGACTATTCAATTTGTGTCAAATAGAACATTCCACTATTCATTGTTTACCTTCAAACATCTCTTTCACAACTTGTTAATGTACCTCTATTCTCCCCACTAGTCCCCTTTTCCCTTGATCTCCAATACGTTATGTGTTGATACTGCTTTTATAAATTAGATAAAACACTACGTTTTACTTATCTTATTGGATGTGTAAGACGATAAAGTAACAAGCTCTTTTGAAAAAAGATATAAAGTAGATTCAACTCAATTTATACATATGATTAGAGATATTGATTATTTGTGGGTGAATTAGTTGCACCCAATAGGCGAAAAAGGCTGAGCTCCAAATTTCTTATTGGTAGAGTATTTAAAGAAAAATAGCATTTGTCTTTATTGATGACTTCTTTTTTAATTCATAAATATATTTCACAATCTCTTTTTAAAAAGAGTATGCGTCAAATGTTTTTCAACAAATAATGAATGTACATCAATTAAATGTGAATAATGTATGTTTGAAAACAAAAAAAAAAAAAAAAAAAAAAAAAAAAAAAAAAAAAAAAAAAACAGGTATGTAGTAAGTTGAAAATGTTTGACATCTTATTTATTTGCACTAGGATTTAATTCATGCAAATAAATGAATTCAAGGATTTTTTTCTTAATCCTAAAATTATATCAAGTGGAATTGAAAAATAATTGATAGCATGTCTTTCTCAATTTAATAATGTGTATTAAATGGTTAGATTTTACCCCCAAAAAATTTCAACCAAATTTCAATATTTTCTACAATAATAACCAACTATATCAGTTTACAACTTTACACAAATTGAAAGAGGAAATAATAATTATGGTTCAATTCAATATCCTATTATTTGTAGACTGCTTACTATTGGCCATCTAAAATAACAGCAAAGATCATCCATGAAATATAAATTATTATAAGGGGAAGTGAAGAAGGTATAACTCAATATTAAATCACAAGAAAATGTGGATATATTGTATATACTATTATTATTGCATATTTTTTTTATTAAGGCCTCATTTTATTTTAAAATTAGAACCAGACTGCTAAAATACTTAAGGCGAATTTATGTAGATTAATTGAAATAAATCAGCAGACAAATTATGAGAAACCACATGCATATACATATGAATAAATGGTACGAGAACTAATTAATCTAATACATATTGATATTATCAAAAGGAATCCAAACTATAAAAACTAACCTGATGACTACCTACCTTCACCATTATCTAAGCTTTATAATTTTTAAATTACTTTTTTTTTTCTTTTTTTTACAAATATCAATAAAACCATTTTGTGTTAATTTTTTTATTAAAAAACAGAGTAGATTAATAATTTAATTTGTTTGTAATGGGTGAATAATGTCATGTGAAATGATGCAGCATGATTGAGAGTATGGATCATAATTTATAATAGTTTCCTCAATCTGATCCACATCATAATTGATTCTGAATTTTGATAGACAATTTTATCATCAATTATTATGTTCCTTGTATTATAATTTGACATAGTCATTTAGAAGTATATAAAATTATACACTATGATTACGGAGTATATATTAATGTAATGCAATTTGCATCTTTGTGATTTATTGAGAGTGGGTTGCTCGTGCACTTTTAATTAAAGGAATTAACATCCTTGATGGCTTGATCCTTCCTTTGATTGCGGTGATATGGCATCTAATCATCTACATACTAACTAATGTATACTCCATAATAATTGTCTTTACGTTAGTACTCCACTAATGCGTATATTAATTCTCTGTTTAATTATAATATTAAGCACAACTGTGAAGTTGGTGAGAAACTCAATTTTTTAACTTTCAAGGTTACAAATTTAAACCCCACGAACTATCAAGATTCTACTACCTACATAATTTGTACGCGTTTTGCTTTTATTTGTCATTGAACCACATGAAAATATGCATTTACAACAATATAAAAAAGATGCAGCAACTTCAATAGATACAACAAAATAAAAATTGCAATTTCGTATTTCCACCACACGTGCATTATTACAAATTATTCCCAGACAGGGCAGACACACAAAAAAAAAAAAAAAAAAAAAAAAAGATGAGTCAGCATAGCACTCCCCAAGAAGGATTCAGCGTTACAGCCACAGGCAAACCTTATCATAAAATAGTGGGCTGTCTATTTTCATTCTGGTAAAAATAGACAAATTCATAATTGATTAACATAAAAAAAGGACACACAATTATAAAGTGGACCATTTTTATTGTTTTGCTTTTGGAGTATTTTAAAACAATAATGTTGCATCATTTAGTTGTTGTTGACTATTGACTTTGAACCATAGAAAATGACCTTACTACTGTAATTTGGATGCCTAGCCTTTTTTTGTGTGAGGACAAGTAAGGGTTTATCTAGTTAATTAACTTTTTTTTTTTGAATAGATCTAGTTAATTAACTTAAATGATGATTGATAATATAATTATCAAACAATTAGGTAATTTAGGGGCCATCCTTATGAAAGCGATGAAGTTAAAATTGCTAATTTAATTAAAAGATTTGTGTTTGTGATGCATACCTTTTATTAAAAAAATCATTATTAAAAGGTTTGTCTTTGTGTTACATATCTTTTATTAAAAAAAATTATTACGTAAAATCTTGTTTTTGATTGGCTTGAATTTTGTCAAAGTGAAGAGATTATATGTCAATTAAAATGTTATGAGTAATTGAGTAGTAGTTTGACAAAAAGTTCATGTTTATTCACTAGTTGTGCTACAAAAATAAGAGTTTTTTTTTTTTTTTTTTTAATAGAGGATAGTGAAAGGTATTGTTACAATTTTTAAATACCGTATTATTGATTATATGTACAAGATCAAGGCACCCAAAGAGGGTAGCCGTATTATTATATCACAATAGGAATCATATTCGTAATCATGTAGGTATTTTTACTTCGTACTTTGTATAATTTTATAGATTAAAAACAATGAGCAATTGGAGACATTTTTGCTAACTATGGTTGCAAGCAAGAGAGACGTGACATTGAATGTGAAGCAAATTTGAGATTTGACATTGAAGGAAGAGCCGCAAAAAATATCTAATCTCATGTAAGAAAAGAAAAAAAGTCAAGGGTGCTGAACTATTAAGGTGTGCTTACAAAAGTCTTCATGCTTTGTCAATTAGTGTTTGAAATCTTTGAATCCCGTTATGTCACTATGTACTGCCATGCTCAATTAGTCGATTGCTCACAAGTAAAACTTCTTTGATCATTTCGCATAAACAGTTCTTCAATCTTAATGTGAGGTACGAAGTGTGTTGTAAATTTGTTTCCCTAATGTTTAGATTAAACTAATATTCAATTCAGCAAGTTTTTGGAGAAAACACATCAATTTAATAATTAATATACGAAGTATTATTCATACATACGTAGTATATACATACTAGTCTATTAGGGATAACTTGACCTTCTCACGCTATTACGCATATGAAAACATTTTTTAAAAATTTTTTATTATAGGTAAGAAAAATAAAGATTAGAAAACAAATGAATGCATATTTATTACGGAGTATGAGTATATCATTCATGTAGTTAGCTTATGCGGTGGAAACATAATTTATTTTCAAAAAAAGCCTATGACTATTTTACTGAATAACGAGTGCAAAGTATAACAAATATCGGCAGTTTACCAAAGTTAACAAACCTTATCCTGTTCTCTCTTACTAGTATATGAATATGATGGCTCCATGTAGAATTCAACAACATTTCCAAGGTCTAGGACAGAAAACCAACTGCAACGTTTGACAATTAGGAAATGAGAGATTTGGTTGCTCTTCTATACATAATCACTTATTTGGAAACGTCATCAAATCTAAAACACTACCATGCTAGTAATACAAACAATTAGTTAGGTCGAAGATAATACCGTCACCACATAAAATATAGTCTTCAAATCAATGCCTAGAATAAAGCTCCCATAAGCTTTACAAAAACTACATGAATTTGAGGGTATCACTGGTGTTTTATAGGGAACGATTTACTCTCGGTTTTAGTTTGCATCCTCCATCAACTTGTAGAGAGCTAATCCGCCATGATGACAACCAGGCATCTTCCACGCCACGCTTTCCAATTCATCCTGTCAATTCACTATAAAATTTAGTACTCCATACTTGCATTGAGCAAGACAGTCAGATGCTTGAGTTAGGTGTTATGGCTGTTTGTCCATATGAAGTTATGAACAATCAAAACTCAGAAATAATAACAGTTCAGAGCCACAAAAATAACCACTAGAGTTAAAATCAAATGGACAATGATCACGATCCAAGTAAATATGAATGAATAACCTTTGAAATTGTACAAAGTTGAGTGGACTCGAAGCCATCTTGAGCTGAACTGTATAACTTCTCAATTTCTTTTGACTGAAGTGAGCATTTCATAAAAAAGAAAGCAGTAGGTCGCACATTCAGTTCCCTCCTTGATATACCAATGAAAACTGGGTTGGACTGCATTAGAAAAGATGGATTTACCATCAACAATAGCACTAAAGAGGAGCTCTTAACCATAAATGAAACCCATACACGTATTATGCTTAGTTATAGAGCACAGGACCACGGAAAAAAAAAAGTCTGCAAGGTTAAACCAATGTGCAAACAGAGCTAAGACGGGGCAAATACCTGACAAAGCTCTCATAAATGTATATAACCATTGCCTTAGGCTTATTGCGAGGTTCATGCTCAAGGCAAGCAGTTTGTGAGTGGGGATCAGATGTATATAAGCTTCACAAGTTAACAGCAGAGAAGCTTCCCAAGACACCAAAATAATCACAAGAGACTCCAGCAATGTACAACCGAAACAGCAGAGAAGAACTTCAACTCACCAAAGATATGGCTGGCACTCCAGTTTCTTCTACTACTTCACGAACAATACTATCAAACATCTCCATAGAAACTCTTCTACACAAGGATTCAGGATCCAAATTGTCATGAGATATAATTCCAACCTCTTCGGGCTGTAAAAGATGAATGAGAAAAAATATATAAAATAAATAAATATTTACAAGATGATAAGATGACTACTTTGGTGATTAATGCAAATTGGTAGCAGGATCATTATCCAAATTCCAAAACATCAACAACTCTACAAGATAACAAGACTAGGCCACGGAGCACCTTTATATATATGAAGTACTCCTTAAAAGCCATATTACATTCTGGTCAGAGAAGATGAGGGCAACAACCATTTCATACAAATTGCAGGAATTCAACAGTCAACCAGTAGCTGCACATGCTCAAGTGCGCATTCGTGTTAAAGCGCGTGAGCAAAAGTATCTTTTTATATGTGGGTGGGGGACTGGGGGGAGGGAAGTGAGAAGCAACTCAATGGAAAATAAAAGCATATGCTGCAGTAATCATAAGATTTAAATCTGGAGAATCTCTGATCACTGCAATTACCTCTGGATGACCACCAGGGAAAACAAAATGACCGGGAAATTCCCCCACATTATTACTTCGTTTCAGCACAAGAATCTTTCCATCAGAAGTCTCTACAATTCCACCATTACCAAGTGGATTTGAAGTGTGTTGACATCGTACAGTTTCATCTATAAAAAGCATATGCCAACAGTAATTTAGTATTCACCCAAAAGGATACAGCAAACTGAGTACATTTACAGTAATCAATCAATACAGCAATTAGGATAAAGAAAAGGTTGATATATTGGAAGAAGGCATTTATTATAATTGGAAGTCACAAGTTCAACTCAATCATCACCAGGACAAGCTTCAACTAGGATAACCAGCAGTAAGCACACTTCAAACACACAGAGTTGTTATTGCTGGTAGAAATGACAAACATAAGAGCATCTTTTTTAATCAATTATTTCAACTACCTAAAACAACAAGCATCAGCTCTATCAAACATACAGTATGTCGGCTATTGATTGTAGAAATATGTCCGATATTCCCAGTGACATTTGAAAACATCTATGGAAGCATAATACCTGCACAGGATATGGTGTTTAACAAGTCTTGTTCCAATTTAATATTACATAGATCTTTAGCAGTAAAATTGCATTCACGTATGAAACAAAATGCAGCATTAAGGAATTTAAGATTGATAAGCTACCTTCTGATTGAACTAGAAACTTTTCCCATAATGGATTTAGGTTTGTTCCCACGAAAGTCCTAAATAAATGTAAGCAACCATTCTCATCAGTCAAACAATAAACTGTCAGAGGAAAACTTTCACATACAAAACTGCAGATGGCCACACCACAACAAACTCATCGAGGGAGGGGGGCACTAACAGTAGGGCAGGGTTTGGAGACAACATTGCCAACAATTATGCAAATTCAAAGAGCCAGATATAAGGAGAACTACACAGTAAATTGCTCGAGTTAAAATTTATAATGAACTAGTAACACATACGAAGTAGGAGAAGGCCAACAGACTTGTAAACTCTCGAATAGAACTTAAGAGCCACCATTAGATGATACTTCAGTTCTGCTTAACAATTGACTACATAACTATTGTCCAATGATATATAGAGTAGACTAATATGTAGGTAAAAGATCGTTCGCACTGCAATCTTATAAAAACCTCTCATGAATACCATGATGAAATCTTATACCCCATCAGAGGGAGAATCCTTTATGAGGACCACTAGAGTGACAAACAAATTTAAAGATGAGATATGGAATGACGAGCATGTCTAATCCTATTTGCAAGTGTATGCAGTGACAAGTTCAACACATAATTGACATTCATGATATCCAAACTTCTTAAGTAAAAGTCATGAGAAAGAAAGATATTGACCTGTAATCTGTCAAACCAAGGTGCAAGTTCAAGTAACAATCGCTCTTACAATCAACACCACCCGCACTATGAAAGGCATGTCCACCATACTGTAAAATCAGTTCCGTAAAGTTACTAGAAAATTCACTCATTTGACAACCATTCATGCACCAAAAAGAACCCAAGAAGACAAAAGGAAAGGAAATTCTAACATCACAGCTACGAACGAATAATTTTTCCTACTATAAAAGAAAATATATGGCATTCCAAAGGCGAACATACTCTGAACTTCTTTCCATTATACAATGATGTATTTTGTTGAGCTCTTTGATCCCATATCTACCAAAATACAACAAAAACAGAATAATATCTCAGATCACACAATATAAAAATACAATTATATACAAAGTGATTAATATTGTTTACTTCCATTTTCAGCGTAAATTGTACGAGCTTAAATCGAATCCAAAATAACGATAAATCAAGCGAAAAATTATGAGTACTAATAACCTGATCAACCGATTTTTCAAGGTCGAAATCTGGATGCGGGATACGATCATACAATTTGTCAAAAATCACTGACACCTTCATACATTCATCCAACCAAAACAAAATCAATTAAATTGGTTTAATAATTGCACAATGCTACATAGCTAGTAATCTGTAATTGAGAAAAAATTCGAGATTAATTAGGGTTTGTTCCTTAAAATTGAGTAAAGAGGAGAGAGAAAAGGGGAATATACCTGAGAAGGAAGGAGACCAGATGGGCAGGAAAGCATGAGCTTGTATGGAAGACTAGAGGTGACGTCATAGTTGCCAATTTCCGCCATTGCTGTAAATTGGGAGAGGAGAGAGAAAGAGGGAAAATCCGAGGAGGGAAAGGGTGGGAAAAAGTGTGGGAAATGGCTCATTTAACGCCACCACGTGATAAGCACGTGCTTGTGTCAATGTCGGAGTAAAAAAAAATATTTCGGGGGTGTATAGCTTCTTACAACATTTAGTGTATTAAGGTCTGTTCTCATTGACTTAACTCAGCTAAACTGAACTAAATTGAACTGAATTGAAATGAACATTTTATAAGAGAAGGAAATTAGGAGCTGAACTAAACTGAATTGAGCTGAAATGAACTGAATTGAATTTCAACGTATGAGAACAGGCCCTTATACTGATACTCTGTAAGATCTAAGATAGTTTGTATTAACATTTTGGTGGAGCTAGTTAAAAGAATGTTTCTTTACCACTCAGCTCGCTGCTCGAAATGTTTTAGAGAGAAGGAAGTTGGAACGGGAGTAGTAAATCGCGATCACCATGGAGCTGTGGTTTATCAGTTTATGCTGCCTACCAGCAACTTGAACAAGCGTGGAAGGTAAGTATTGTGGAGACGAAAGCTGTTGGTTGTGCTTGGGCTGAAGTTAGCAGCTCAATGTTATGCAAATGCGATCAAAGTGGAATGTAGTCCAGGTGCTTTGATGCTCCAAACTTATTCGAGAAGCTTGAGCAGTCGCAAAGCCATTTGATAACTTTAGCGGGGCAAAATCTATAGTTTTGGCTTGCAAATGGCCTTGCAAATTGCAATGTAATGCTTCCTCTATCATCTTGGAGAAGTGATTGCTCGGAGATTACCAAGAAAATCTGAGAGGCCCTCAGAGGGCTGGTATGTTGGTACGCTCACATCTACAGGGAGACAATGAAGCGGCTCACTCAATGGACCAACTTCGTCCTTTAGAAAGTTCCTCCATAGTATGGCTCGGCATATGCCGTCATTAACTCATTATAAAGAAAGTTGTAGCTTCATGTTTGATAATTAACCATTGAGCTTTCCCTCTTAAAAAACAAGTATGGCACTATCAAAATCACTGTGCAACGATAAAGGAGCTGAAAATAATCAACACTCGGGAAGAAAAAAAAAGAATCCAACTCTCTAGTATTACTGAATAGAATACTGTAGTGTACTCCATACAATGAAAAACATATGCTCTAGATCATCTCAAACAGATATAGATATCACCTCTTCTGAAGAGAAATTCAGATGGCCACAATCTTACAAAAACATGAAGAAAAAAGAACGTTCCGCATTAGTTGCGAATACATACTCTAAAAACACTAAATAATTAGTCACAAAATTTTCCATGAATTGACCACAATAGAGTAACATTACCGTTCTTTTTCAGGTCATGATTCAAGAGCTAAGGGACATCTAACATTACTGTAATACAAAGTCACAAGTTCAGGGAGCAAAAGAGCAGGATACAGCGCAAGTAAACAAAAACCTTTTTCCTGGTATACAGCTAAAAGCCAAGTGCAAAAGAAAAGATGAAAGGAGGCTATTGTATGCGGAAAGGAGGCTTACTCCAAGAAGACAAAACTATGAAGGTAAACAAAAGTGGAGAGAAAAAGGACCTTTCAAAAGCAGAATTGCATTCAAAATAGAAACTTTACAGAGTTCTAAAAGAGCTCATCACTCCCTCATGTTACTACCTCCTGCTTCATCTTCATCGTCACTTATATCAAGATCAGCGAGCAGCTCATCTAGGGGCACAGAGGGCAACTCATCACCGTCTGTCATAGAAGCTGTTTCCGATGGTTGGTATTCCTTATTGCGGTACAGTGATACATTAAACCTCAAATCAGGGTTCTCTTCCAAGTCTCTTAAGAACTCTTCATATTCATTAGCAGCCTTATCATGGTCAACTTTAGCATTGCCAGCATCATCAACGTCCATATTAAGGTTCTTGAGCTTCCAAGCACGGGGCTTCCCACGCTTTCTTTGACGCTTCTCTTCATAGCTCTTCTTAACCAATATCACTTCAGGAAGAACAAGTCCTTTGTATTTGTCCAATTCAGAGTCATTAGGATTAGCCCCATAGAGATCATAACCAAGGGCATGATCCCCAGGGTTTAGAAGATGACCTAAGTGCGTCCTGATGTGAAATATTGTATCATTCCTTCCAAAGTCTGATACACGCGCCACTTGGGCATCTGCCAAAGCATACCTTGAGCCAGAAACAACAACTTCAGGTGAAACATTGTCGATATCCAGCACAATGTATTCCACCAGCCGCCTACTAGAGAGCAGGCATTTGAAAGGTGCCCTCCAATACTGATCAGCATCCAGGAAGCAATACCTCAAGGTGTTTGGATCCAATAACATTAAACTGTTGGTCAGTTTTGTACAAATCACAATGGGACCCAGATTCCCCACACTTACTGCAACTTTAGGAGGAAGACATACAAGGTCCTCACGACAGATGGGGGAAATCTCAACTGAGAAAGTATGCTTATAATTGTAAGTGTTGCTCTTTGAATCCTGAGACACAAGCTCTTTATCACTGCGACTCTTGATGGGAGCAACTTTACCAACAAATTCCAAAAATTTCACAGCATGACTTCTGTTGGAGAAGAAGAAATCGATTCCATTATTCATCTGCTTGATTCTGATAGCCTGGGCCACAGCATCATGCTTAAGAATAAGTTGTTCCAGGTAGAAGAAAGTCCTTCTGTGAGGTACATGTTGTCTGAGTTGAACTGATGCCACCCACTGATCTGGATTCGCCTGGAGCCTATTACAATAATCACACATATTATGGTGCACAACATACTCAACAATATAAGCCTGCTCTAGAACTGCCCCGTGAAGTACTTCCTTTTGAATTCTCAGTTTAACCTTGATCCTCTTAGAATGCGGTTCAGTCCACACAAACTCAGCATGCACCAATGTGACTTTGGCTTTATCCAAATTCAACCTCTTTAGACAAAATGTTAGGAGTTCCCTTGATTCTAGTTGAGCCCTGATCCGAGTCTTCGGAGGCTGCAAATAAGTCTCACATTCAGGGCAAAATAAGATTGTCACTTGCTTCAGCAAACCTTCAGTGATGTCAATTTCAGAACGCAAACACCTCACACACATGTTGGCAGCATTGGGTTGCATAGGGATACCACATTTGCAGCACAGAACACTGCCAATTGTTTGTTGTACAATAAACATGCCATTTTCCTGAGTCATTGCTACAGAAAAACCAGGAAAAAAAGTCAATAATGTAAATAAGTGCACATAAGCATCAATAATTCAATAAATTATGCAAAAACAATTCTTCCTTAACCTAAACTAATCTAGGATGATCAAGCAGGTCTCACATTAGTTCTTAATACTTAATAGGACTTCAGCGAAAGTGAAATTAACCGGGAGAAATCTACCAGGAAATCAATTCTCAAATAAATCCAAACCTAACCTTTATAAAAGAAAGGTTTAAGACTTCGATCATAATAGAGCATTGCTAAAGAAAAACAATGAAAAGGTGACAAGCAGTAATATTTACAACTAACAATACACAACAGTGTGTTAATTTTTACAAGACTAGTATTTTATATGACCAATGAAACATGTGATATACTCCGTATTTCATAAAGTCAAAAACATAAAACCCATAGAAACAAAACTATTAACACAGAAACATAGAAACAGGCAAACAGTCCATAGTTAAAGAAACAAAGTCACTGAGAAAACATAATCTAAACCAACATCATCATCTTCAAGAAGAAAGTGAGGCTTATATACACACCTAAGATGTGCGAGCTTTCATACAGAAATAGGTACATGTACCAAACAGGCACGGAAAAATGTCAATCCTAAAAAAGGTAACACAGATACGGGCAAATTACAATGCATACCATACATCAAAAAAGATAAATTGATAACTTATTCAACGAAACACTAAATAATTGACATCAAATCTTACCATTAATCTAAAACAAGTAAATAAAGTGCCACGAACATCATCGCATACACAAAAAATAAAAGGATTTAGTTTAAGTCCTAAAAATCGAATTTGCCACCGCGCAAAAAATAATTAGATAAATTTTACGATACAACTGCAATATATTACATTCCATCCAGTTCTGTTCATTAATAAGCAACTCGCGATAGTTCATCAAGCTAATAAATAGTTCATTAGAAGCAATTCGTCTTAGTAGACTATATTACGCTAATATTAAGGTTAGGGAAGATCAAATATACAGAAAAAAAAAAAAAAAAAAAAAAAAAACGACGAAAGGGTCTACTACTGCAATTGCAATTCATAATCAAAAGCATAAATTATCAACAACCAATGAAATTGCAATTCTCCAATAAATGACTAACCAATAAGCAGAATTCATCATACACAAATGAAATTTATCAGCTAATCAAACAACTTCCACAAGAGTCAGCATAATTCAACGGCAATAAACAACAAATTATATCAATATTCGGAGAAAATTACCCAAATGAACCAAAAATTATATATAAAAAATAATAATCACAATTCATTTGATTATTGCAAATTAATTAATGAAAATTAACAAAAAAATTTAAAAAAAAAAGGTACCTGAAAATTGAAGATAGCTGCTAGAAAACGACGACAAAGAGCAGAAATTAGGGTTTAAGATGGATCGTAGTTAGAAATGGAGAAGTTTGGGGTTTTAGACTTTTAGTGTTTAACAGCCGTTTTATTCATAAAGGTTTTACAACTTATTGCTGATGAAAGTCGGTACCCGGTTCTATAATCAAGTGGCAAAATTGGGCTTTAGATTTTTATTTACATTGGACTTTTATTTTGTGTTTGGCCCTAATGCAGCCCACTAATGCCCAAAAATGAAGGCATCCTCAAACTGTTCAGCCATCTAAGTATGCACAATTGCACATAGATAGCATCAGCTAATAGCCTTATAACATGTTATTTTCAGTTTAAGTTAAGTTAAATTCCAGTGCCGTCTCGGACATTTTTGTGGCCCGGAGCGAAAACTAAATAGGGGCCCCTAAGGCCTAAACAATGAAGTCGTATTATATAAAAATACATCAATCAATTATTTCGTGAATTTTCTAATAAAAAGTTTATCAAAATTACTTGCAAATACATGATAGTCATTTAGAGAGGTTGTTATATACACCCGGGTGTTCCGTACAGTCTTACACCCATGAGTATTTGTTCTCATTTTGATGATCGTTTTTCATTTTATCATAAAATAAAGAAAAAAAATTAACCTTA